TAACAGCAGCACCTTTAGGGGTGGGTTTCTGCATCTTCCCAGCATCTCCCTTCTCAGCGTCTCCTTAAGTTTGCTGATAACATATTATAACATACGTTATAATGCATATGCATTTTAGAGTTAATATATATATTATACTATATTTAACATATGTGTTATCAGTGAACTTAAGGAGATGCTGAGTATGAAACCCCTCTGTTCAACGTAAAGCTTTGTAAGTTGATTCAGAAAGGGAAGCTGTAAGATCATATCTGGGAAGAGGTAAAATCCATGGTTGCTGAGAAGCTGGACCAGGGTTGGAGGGGGGGGGGAACAGAGACGGAACAGAAGCTCCATGTGTAGCCGTGGCTTCTCCGGGGGGTGTGGAGCAGCTGAGAAGGGAGCATGAAATGTTGCGGATTTGTCAGCAAGGGAGACACTGAAACCAGGGAGACGGGGTAGGTGGAGGAGGACGAGAGGCATCTTGCAGGGAGTGGGTGAAGCAGATGTTCAGTGACTGAGCGTCAGGCCCACCTAAGAGCATCTGAGTGTCTTACTGACGATTCCAGGCAAGGTCAGGCTCGGGCTTCATTCCAAGACAAGAAGTTGTGGGACAGATTTTGTGCAAAATAGCTTGTTTGGGTCCTCTCCTAACTCATTAGCATCCCTCTTTCTTGCCTCTTCACCAACCAGAGCCCACCCTCATTCCCCTGGATCACACCTCTCCTGAACTCCCTCCCCCCCCACCCCCACCCCACAGACTCCTGCCAAGCACATTCTCAAACATCATGACCTGCAAGGAGAATTCAGGCCACCCTCTCTAATCTCTGCCCTTTCAACTCTCACGTTTCCACTAAAATTTACCCTATCTAACAGTTTTGCCAGGAAAGTAACTTGATTCTGGATGACTTCATGAAAGTCATTTACACAGGAAAGAAAGCACTTGTTCATCTCAAAGGCCACAGAAGTGACAAGTGAGTGTTATCGAAGATGTTTTAGACTTTTATTGGTGCTGCCTCTCCAATTAGAATTCAGGCCACCCTCTCTAATCTCTGCCCTTTCAACTCTCACGTTTCCACTAAAATTTACCCTATCTAACAGTTTTGCCAGGAAAGTAACTTTCTTGCCTCTTCACCAACCAGAGCCCACCCTCATTCCCCTGGATCACACCTCTCCTGAACTCCCTCCCCCCCCCCCCCCACCCCACAGACTCCTGCCAAGCACATTCTCAAACATCATGACCTGCAAGGAGAATTCAGGCCACCCTCTCTAATCTCTGCCCTTTCGACTCTCACGTTTCCACTAAAATTTACCCTATCTAACAGTTTTGCCAGGAAAGTAACTTGATTCTGGATGACTTCATGAAAGTCATTTACACGGGAAAGAAAGCACTTGTTCATCTCAAAGGCCACAGAAGTGACAAGTGAGTGTTATCGAAGATGTTTTAGACTTTTATTGGTGCTGCCTCTCCAATTATACAGAGATGATTACTATTGCTATTCATATATTTATATTAAGCAGAGGCTAGTGACCAGATCAAATTTTATTACGAAGGTGACAGAGGATTGCAAAGTCTTAGCCACTGTGTTATACCCTCAATGTGCTAATGAGAAGCTTAGGCCTGAAGAACTCTTTACAGAGTATTCTGCTTGGTAAATGACTTGAGTTTGAAAGTATATAGCAAAATGGCAGATCTGTTTCAAAACTGGTGAGTCTGACTGAGGCATTTTTGTGCATTGAGAATAGGGGACAGATAGGCAGGCTGCTCCTCTCTTTTGCTGAAAATATTCCCTGTCATTTCCATGTGCGTGCTCCAATGCTCAGTCGTGTCCGACTCTTTGTGACCCCACGGACCGTAGCCCGCCAGGCTCCTCTCTCCAGAGGATTTCCCAGGCAGGAATACTGGAGTGGGTTGCCATTTCCTTCTCCAGGGGATCTTCCCGACCCAGGGATCGAACCCCCATCTCCTGAGCTTTGGCAGGTGAATTCTTTACCACTGAGCCACCTTCTGTAGCCCAGAAGGTGGGCTTTACCAGTAAGGGTTTCTCCCTGAATTCACACAGAGATCTGAAAAGCTGGGGCCTAACAGCAGATGTCACTGGTCAGAGCAGATCAAGGAGCTTTTTAATGTCTTTACTTAGTACAATGAGCGAGGTTGGAGAAAAGTCGTTATGAGGATTGGATCTCCTACCCTTCTAACTTTCTTTCTCTCACCTGTGTTCCCTCCTAAGTTTCTTTGAAAGTTGTGATGAACTAGGATGCTGTTTTCAGGAAGATCCACCCTCCTCACTGTGTGCTGCTTCCTACTCAAGTCACGTTTGTAAAAGAACTCCACGTCAGGACAAAGTCCATATAACATTGAAGATCCTTTCCTATCTCTCTCATTAATCACCAGGCAAGATAGCTAGAAACTGGAGTAGAAAAGGGAACCTTAGAACTAGCATTTGTTTTTGAACTTTATAGCCCACCATTTTTTAATTTCAGTGAACAAATTCCCATTTTGTTAAAAAAAGGAGTTTTGCAGGGAATGAAATAGCCACCATTAGTTTTAGGAGACCAAGGAATAAAGCATGCAAAAGGAAATATAGAACCAGGAACACTGAAGATAGTTTGCATGCGTGGTTTGTTGCTCAGTCGTGTCCAACTTATTGCGACCCCACAGGTTGTGGTTCCCCAGGCTGTTCTCTTCAGGGGGTTTTCCAGGCAAGAATACTGGAGTGGGCTGCTATTTCCTCCTTCTGACCCAGGGATCGAACCTGAGTCTCCTGTGTCTCCTGCATTGGCAGAAGAATCCTTTACCATTAGCACCACCTGGGAAGCCCTGAAAATACTTTTTCATGATGGGATTGATGGTGGCAAGATGATTTTGAAAGCATTCGGGTAATTTTAAAGCCCAGTTTTAATTCTGAGGAAAACAAATGTTAACTATAGAAATGTCCAGTCAATCGGCAAACCTTATCTCCTGTTCTTTATCCATAAACTATTAGAAAAGTGCTCAAGTTAACACAACACATGAAACAAGAGACTAAAAAAAAAAAACACACACCTACATTGTTTCTACCCATTGTGACAACAGGGCCTTTGTAAGCATCTTAGCTCATGGTGTAAGGCTGAAAAATGGTTAACACTAAATAAATCAGTTTCACTGTCATCTATCATTTAGCTTAAAGGACATTGCCTTTTAAGAAATGCATCATTTACATGGTGGGAAAATTGAAGGATAGATGAATAAATTGTACACATTTAAACAGAATCTGAACACTTTTCTCTGGACAAGCTGAAATGTATGATCAGGATAATAAACCACAGTAGGGGACCTGATGGTTTCGGGAACAGAATTCTCACAGCTGTTAACTTGTATCCCTGACATTGTTACATTATGCAGAAATAATTTTCCCACAGATTCACATTTGCTCACTTGTAGCTTGTATTAATTGAAACTTCATTCACCAATTAGCATACTGTGGAAGGTATTTTTAAAAAGGGCTTGTTTATAACAGTTGTTGGCGCTACTGAAACTCCGAGCAATGCCAAGCAAATGCCATTTCAAAGAAAAACCTCTCTTTTTCCTTTTGGCAGCAGGAAAGAGCAGAGTGTCTCACAGCAGCTCTTGATTTATGACTCCCACGATGGGTGCAGCTCCCTTGAAGGAACTGGGTTAGAAGGAAGCATGGATGAAGAGAACAGCCCTATCTCTGAATCAGCTTCTTAATTTGCAGTCCTGTGGGCCTCTGATGAGACTGTTGCATTCTCATGCCTCCAATGATCAGATGAGGGAGTAGACACTGACAACCTTGAATAGCTTCCTGTTTATAATGTGTCCATCCGAGGCACATCAGTCAGACCTACAAAGAATCCTGTATCCTGTGGGCAACATTTGCGGAAATAGTTTTCTGTTTTTTTTTTTTTTTAACTTAAGTGTATTTTTAATTGGAGGATAATTGCTTTGCAATACTGTGTTGGTTTTAGCCGTATCTCTGCACGAATCGCCCGTAGGTACACACGTGTGCCCTCCCTCCTCAACCCCCCTCCCAGCTCCCGCCCCATCCCACCCTCTGGGGCGTCACAGGGCATGGGGATATTTTGCCTTCAACATTTCAGGATAGGTTTGCTCAGCCGCGGGCCACATCCTGAAAGTATGCAGTTGTCTCCCCAAAACGCAGTTGAAGAGCTGAACAAAGACACATGACTAATCAAGGCAGATCTGAAGGCTGGTGGGTGAAGCAGCCGGAGGCAGCCGGACGGACGGGGAGAACTTGGACATGCCTCCCAGGACATCTTGGCTGTAGGCAGAGTGTCCATCCTCACAATGGGCCACCAGACAAAGTGCTTATTGTAAAGTGGGCCTGGTCCCTGGAGAAGAAGAAAAATGATTCCTGTTGACTTTGGGGGTGGGGGGTGGATTAACTCATTCCTCCCTTTCATCTTGGGAAGGCACTGGATAAATACTTGGTGATTAATTTCTTTGGTTGGTTTCAAGGTGGAGGTGTCTCAATGTCTGGAATACTATTTATTCCTGTGAAATTTTCTAGGCAGCCAAGCAACAGGATCCTCTAGTACAACGTCTCCCCCCTCCTCCACTCTCCCCCACCTGGCAGGTAGATGGTGCAGAAAACAGGTTCTAGTAACTACTGAACCATTAGCACTGGGCCCCCTTGACTTGGCTGTTTTGGCAGAGAAGTAACTAAAGACCACTCAGTATTGAATTATTTAAACTTACTTTGAGTTGAGCTGGAAAACCATTGACCTATATCAAAGAAGCTGAAAGCAATAATAACTGTATGTATCAATATAACTTGATCTTTAAAGAGTGAATGGATTTGGAGGGAGGAAAACGACTTTGCCCAGGCAGGGCCGTGAAAACCTTAGGCGCACAGTGAAGAGCTGGGGGAGAGGGTCCAACTGCAGCACGCTCCCTTTAAGAGGGAAGCAAGACGAGTGGCCTTGGCACATCTTCGGCTTCTATTCAGACAGAAAGAGAAGAGCTTCCAGTGTCGGAGAAAAAAAGGAAAGAAAGAAGAAAAAAAAAAGTATGGATGTTTTGAAACAAAGACAGGAGCAATTTTATACTTTATTGAAAGCTCACCTGGGAGTGGTTTTAACTCCTCCAGGGTTAAGAAAGATTTTTTTTTTCCTCTCAAAACTAAAGGAGGAGCTAGGGTAAAATTGAGTCTGAAACAGCATCCTTGTCAGTTCTGTTCTGTCCTGGGAACCACACAAGGAAGAAATACCTCTGTGGAAGAGAAGGAGGCTGCAGATACAGAAGGCAAGGGACCATCTATGATACAACCTGTATGTAAGTTACACTGTACCAGTAACTAGAAACCCCCTCTTTGCTGAAGTTAATTTTTATTGGAGCATAGTTGCTTTACAATGCTGCTAGCTAGTTTCTGGTGTGCAGGGGAATGCATCAGTCACAGGTGAACATATCCCCCTGCCTTTTGGCTTCCATCCCCCTCAGGACACCACTGGGCATTAGGCAGAGTTCCCTGTGCTGTGCGAATGTGATCATTAGCTATCTAGTTTATAATATTTTATACACCACATCAATTGCATATATGTGCCAATCCCAATCTCCCAGTTCCTCCCTACTCACCACCCTTTGGAACATTAAAACTCTTATTTGCCTTTTTCTAAGGAAAACCATCTGACTTAAACAGAAAGCCTCTAAGACGGCTAGACAAATACATGGATTGTTTTGCCTTTTTACATTATAGATTGTTTTGTTTTCTAAATGTCCTCAGGCCAGAAGAGTCTACAAAATGAAGACAATTTTTTTTTTCTTTTAACGTTGGGTCAGAAGAGGCCGTGAGGCCTCATTTGGGATAATCACAGTGTTTACCGAAGCCTTATGCATATATAAAAATGTTATTTTCTCTAATTGCATAGTTTGCTCCTGTAATGACTGAGTTGAATTCTAAACTGAAATGAGTGATCAATACTTAAGGTCTCTGCCGTTCAGATGAAGTCTGAGCTGTTTCAGACGGCATCAAATTGCTTCGAATTGGGNGAAGCCTTATGCATATATAAAAATGTTATTTTCTCTAATTGCATAGTTTGCTCCTGTAATGACTGAGTTGGATTCTAAACTGAAATGAGTGATCAATACTTAAGGTCTCTGCCGTTCAGATGAAGTCTGAGCTGTTTCAGACGGCATCAAATTGCTTCGAATTGGGCCAATTGCTCTAAAGAAGGAGACTGAAAGCTAAAGAAGGTGTGGAATTTTCTGTTTTTCAGGTTTGAAGTGGAAAAATCCCAAACTCGCAAAGAGCAGCGCTCCTCCGACCCTTGCTTCCCCAGCAGTCACCCGGATATACCCCAAGGGCGCCGGCGAGCATGAGCTACTACGGCGGCAGCTACCCCATCGTGAGCGTGGACCCCAAGTGCCCGGGCTACGCCCCGGAGCGCCTTCTGGCCGAGAAGCGCAGGGCGAGGCGGCGCCTGCTGCACAAAGACGGCAGCTGCAACGTGTACTTCAAGCACATTTTCGGGGAGTGGGGCAGCTACGTGGTGGACATCTTCACCACCCTCGTGGACATCAAGTGGCGCCACATGTTCGTGATCTTCTCACTGTCCTACGTCCTCTCCTGGCTGGCCTTCGGCTCGGTCTTCTGGCTCATAGCCTTCCACCACGGCGACCTGCAGAACCAGGGCCCGGGCGCCACGCCTTGCGTGGACAACGTCCACTCCTTCACGGCGGCGTTCCTCTTCTCCCTGGAGACCCAGACCACCATCGGCTACGGCTACCGCTGCGTCACCGAGGAGTGCCCCGTGGCCGTGCTCACCGTCATCCTGCAGTCCATCCTGAGCTGTGTCATCAACACCTTCATCATCGGGGCGGCCCTGGCCAAGATGGCCACGGCCAGGAAGAGGGCGCAGACCATCCGGTTCAGCTACTTCGCACTGGTGGGCATGAGGGACGGCAAGCTCTGCCTCATGTGGCGCATCGGGGACTTCCGCCCCAACCACGTGGTGGAGGGCACGGTCCGCGCGCAGCTGCTGCGCTACGCGGAGGACGGCGAGGGGCGCATGACCATGGCCTTCAAGGACCTGAGGCTGCTCAACGACCAGATCATCCTCGTCACCCCGGTGACCATCGTGCATGAGATCGACCGCGACAGCCCCCTCTATGCGCTCGACCGGAAGGCCGTGGCCAGGGATAACTTTGAGATCCTGGTGACGTTCATCTACACCGGGGACTCCACCGGGACGTCCCACCAGTCCCGGAGCTCCTACGTGCCCCGGGAAATCCTCTGGGGCCACAGGTTTCACGACGTCTTGGAAGTGAAGAGGAAGTACTACAAGGTGAACTGCCTGCAGTTCGAAGGCAGCGTGGAGGTCTACGCCCCCTTCTGCAGCGCCAAGCAGCTCGACTGGAAAGACCAGCAGCTCCACAGCGTGGAAAAGGCCCTGCCCGTGCCAGGGTCTGCCCCGCCCGACGCCAAGGTCAGAAGAAGGTCGTTCAGCGCGGTGGCCATTGTCAGCAGCTCGGAAAACCCAGAGGAGACCACCCCCTCCGCCCCCGAGGAGTGTAAGGAAGCACCCTACCAGAAGGCCCTGCTGACTTTAAATAGGATTTCCGTAGAATCCCAAATGTAGTCCTGAATCCTAACTGTGAGGGCTCCCTACCACGCAGTCATTCTTACTCTCTAGCCAATCACCATAAGGCAACTGGTTATAAACAGAGCTTTTGAAGATTGTGACACCTGTCTTTGATGGTGATGAGAGATAAATAGAGCAGGTTAAATAAAAAAAGATATCTCAACATTGCATTGTATACAATTGTTTAATTTTTTTTTTTTTTTTTTGGCTAGCAACTGTTATATTAGGGAGGCTATCAAGAAGCCTAATTGATTAATTTAAATTTCATCTCTTTTAATTATTCCATACACTTGTGTTATCTGCTGGAAGTATAATATTTCAGTAATAAGGAACAAAGGATACGAGGACAAATAATAATAGACAGTAGAAAGGAAAATAGCATGAATGATAAAATTTTAAACATATCCAAATTGATAGTGTAATGAGCTACCTATAAAAATCTTATGTCTTACAATCAGGATGTGCAAGGAATGCATTCAGTAACTTGTGATGTTGAGCTGTTTCACTGTGAACTCACCCGACCCGTTCGAGTCACCGTGTTCACCCCTCCGAGGGTCTTGGTATCAGCTGGCAGAGAATGTATCTGTAAGAAGTGTTCCTATCACCAAATTCTGACAGAGCCTCTGTGCCACTTGCCAGGGGAGGATCAAAAATGACTGGAAGTTACTTTTTCTCTCATCCACAAGGCAGAAGAAAAGTGGGCATTACTTTTCAGAGAGAGATTTCTCTCTCAAACGCCCTGGGTGACTGACTCCAAGGAGTGGCTGTGTGTGGAAGAGCAGGCGGCAAACAGGAGTTTTGTAAGGTCGGTGACAAGGGGGTTTCTGCCGCCCACCTGCCCCCTCCTTCTCTGAGGGCAGGAGGGAAGATCAGGGTCGCAGAGGTGGGGTGAAGAGTTGGAGACCCATAAACAGTCTCAGACTCTCTGAGAGGAAGCATGTCTCTGTGTCTTGAAAGATTGGAGCTCTGGCTACACACGGGATGGGGCCTTTTTTATTTTCATTTTTTTGGCAGTTGGGTGGGGCGTTAGGAGGTGGGGAGACTGTGAGGAGAAAAGTCTTTATTTTCGCTTACAAGCAATTATGTATATTTTCTATCTCGGTCACTTTAGAAAACAGAAACAACTTAAACTCTGGATTTTAATAACCCTTCCTTGGAACTTGGAACCATCATTTAAATGAAGGATTTTGTGAAATATAATTAAGGTGATTCTAATGCACATTTTGAAGCAGATCAGCTAAGTGCTTCAGAATTGCTTAAATTGTAGGGCAGGAGATAAACTTGTACACTCTATTTCCATGTTAAGAGATGTTAATCATGATTACTTTAAACACAAACCTGATCACCTAGGAATGAAGAGTCACTCTAAGCTTTATCAACTGAAGAATTATCAGCTACCTTCAGAATTATCTGTATGATTTTTTTCCATTGTTGCTGAGCTGATATTAAGTATATGCCACAGTTCTCTTTTCATTTATTTTATATAAATATAAATATGTATACACATAGTTTTTGCTTTTTTTCTGGAAAATTCCCCCCTCTCTCACCATTTAAGTTAAAGCACACAAGTAAATTTTACTGAATCAGAGTACCAGATTACCAATAGAAGTAAAATATATGGGAATATAAGCTATTTTTCTTTTTTTTTTTTTTTCTCCCTCCCTTCCTTCTCTCCTTTTCCTCCTTCTTTCTTTTGTCTGTGAGCAATAAAGTCATTTTATAAATGCACATGTGCAAATCTTTTATTCCTGCTGTTGTATGGACAAGAGATCTCTGAAGGTCACAGGTTGCAAAATTATCCTGGAACTTAACGTCAGAGAGAAAAATCACACCATTTATTTTTCTCATCTTGCTTCAGAAATGCAAAACCATTTCTTAAATTGCACATGCCCTATCGAGTTGGATTTCAGAGCAGCAATTACTCAGCTAAATTAGAGTACTGCCATCTACCAAGTAGATAACAACCTCCAGAATGAGCAAACTTGCCCCTTCCTCCTTTTAGCTTGTCTCACACCAGTCTAGTCCCATTCACTTTACTTCCTGGACTCTGCCTGTCCACACTCTTGTGTTCTGTCCAGCAAACCCTCTTACCCAGATTAGATGCATTAATACGACCAGCATCCTGTGTAACATGCATCTCTCATTTTCTGTTTAGACTGATAACAAACTCTGATGCCCCAATGAATTACTTTATGATGAAGATCTTAAAACTGTGCAAAAAGTGTGTGCCTAGGCTGGTGGGAACTCTGTGGATGTGGTCAGCCCTGGGGACAGGGCACCAAACATGAGATTCCTGTTCCTTCGAGTTAGGATGTGTGCAGAATTAGAAACCATTTTTATGGGTTTCTAACAGCTTGCAGAACAGCCCTATTCAAATGAACGGTTAAGTGCTCCTGTAAGCATTGAAAGAAATCAGTCTTCAAAATAGCATTTCTAGTTTGAAACACTCTGTCAATGATGAGAATTTTCTTTTTTCTGGCATGCCTCTTCCCTTAAAAAAAATGACATTATTCAGTAGACCTAATTAGACAGAAAATAGATCGTGGCATTGAGGCTCTGTGGTCATGTGTATTTCAGCCTGGGAGGAGGGAACAGAGGAGGAGAGAAAGAGAAGTTATTTTCATGTGCCACTGACAAGGTGCTTTCCACAGATGCACTTAATCCCCCCACAAAAACCAGTGAGGTAGATATTTTAAATTTCTGCGTTATCAAACATCTCATTCTTGACTACCTGACTGACAAATTCCCAACTGGGATAACCAAGTGCCGAGGTTAAAATAGAAAATTCCTACTGCGTTTCCCAGTCTTTCTTGCAGTCGAGGGTGGGATGGAGAGTGCGCTTCTATGACGAAGTTCTGGTTCCTGAGATGTCAGCAGAACTGTCTGACTGTGACCTTTAAGAAAGCTCACTGGGACTTCCCTAGCCGTCCAGTGGTTGGGACTTTGCCTTTCAGCACAGGGGGTGCAGGTTCAATCCCTGGTCAGGGAGATTCAAGGCCAAAAAAAAAAAAAAAACCAAAAAACCCAAACTTGAAAAAGATGCAGTATTGTCACAAATTTAATAAAGACTTAAAAATGGTCCACATCAAAAGAAAATCTTAAAAAAATACAGACAGCTTTTTGGCTGGGTCTGTCTTAGCTGTCAAATGCCCTGTTAGCCTCATGCATTCATCCTTCTCCTCACCTGGACCTCAGTCGTGGTAGTCGGAGCTCCTGCAGCCATCTCCTGAGAGTGAGGATTGGGGATGTTCCTTACAAAGGAAACTGGACAAGCAGAAAGGCATGTGAGCCTAGATAGCACACCTCTGGACTTGTGTAGAGATGACAATAAATAAAATTCCTGAGAGTAATCTTAAAGGAAATCAACTCTGAATATTCACTGGAAGGAGTGACCCTGAAGCTGAAGCTCCAACACTTTGGCCACATGGTTCAAAGAGTCAACTCATTTGAAAACACCCTGGCGCTGGGAAAGATAGAAGGCAGGAGGAGAAGGGGGCGACAGAGGATGAGATTATTCGGTGGCATCACTGACTCGATGGACATGAGTTTGAGCAAGCTCTGAAGGACAGGGAAGCCTGGCGTGCTGCAGTCCATGGGGTCGCAAAATGCCAGGTACAACTTAATGACTAGACAACTATGAAACCCAGAGCAAGCCATAGATCTAGAGGAGCTGGCTTCCCTGGCGACTCAGAGGTAAAGAATGTGCCTGCAACGCAGGAGACCTGGGCTCCATCCCGGGTCGGGAAGATCTCCTGGAGAAGGAGATGGCGGTTCACTCTGGAGAATTTCATGAACACAGGAGCCTGGTGGGTTACAGTTTATGGGATCACAAAGAGTTGGACATGACTGAGCAACTAACACTAGAGGGAATTATCCAGGAAGCAAAGGCTCGGAAGGAAAAATAAAATGCATGTACAAGTTACATCCAATGTGAACTTGTAGATGACCTTCGATGGAGTGGGTCTCCGTGGAAACCAAAGATTTTCTGGAAGGGTTGAGGAAATGCCACTGTGATTGTAAAACAAACACCAAAGGATTGTTCTGGGCCTGTGACTGCCCCGGAGACACCGAGGCCTAAGCGGCCTCGATGGGAGAGTGAGCCTGGCTCCGCTGGGCTGCCCTTCATCTCCTCCCGCGCCTCCAGCAGATTCGGTTCTCTGTCTGAATGGGACCCTCACTAGGGCTGGTGACCCGGAGCCTACAGAGACCCAGGCAGGCAAGTGCTGTGCAGTTTGGGCAGAAAAGCACAAGTCCCCCAAGGCTGTGTTTAAGAATCCTAGGCAAAAACGAATGAGAACCTATGTGCAGCAAAGGAAATAAATGCCTCTTAGAACTCTGCAGGGACCCGAATGGGAAAGCAGTCCAAAAAGGACGGGATACACATATGGATGGATATAGATATATGTGTGTATATAGATACAGGTATAGTTGATTCATTTTGCAGTAGAAACTAATGCAGCTTTGTAAAGCAATGATGCGCCAATAAAAATTAATTTAAAAAAGAAGAGCTCCTGGCAAGGTCAGACTGCATGGATTCATCTACATGCACTCTAAGTATATATACCAAGAAACCCAGATCCTGGTTTTAAATATTTTATTTCATTTCTTCAGAGTTGGCCAGGATATGTGCCAAGCAGACTCTCTGGACCACGCTTATTTAAATGATTAGACACTCATTCTACTCAGTTTAAAATATTCTACTAGTTCTGTCTATTATAAGCGCTGATTTTTCTGTCTCAGATGTTCTGCAAGGCGTATGCATAAACACCCGAGCTTTGTTATTTTCCTTTGAACTTTTTATTTTGATGAGGGTCTAGCCAATTAACAAGGGTTTCAGGTGAACAGCGAAGGGACTCAGGCATGCACACACATGCGTGCGTTCTCCCCCAAATCCGTGTCCCGTCCAGGCTCCCACACAACACTGCGCAGGGTCCCTATGCTCCACAGCAGGGCTGCGTTGGTTATCATTTTAAATAGAGCTGTGAGTCCATGTCCATCCCCAACTCCCTAACTATGCTTTCTCCCCAGCAACCACAAGTTCCTTCTCCAAGCCTGTGAGTCTGTTTGTTTTGTAGGTAAGTTCATTTGTATCATTTCTTTTCAGAGTCCACATAAAAGGGATGTCATATGACACTTCTCCTCTATCTGACTTCACACAGCATGACAATGTCTAGATCCATCCACTTTGCTGCAAATGGCATTATTTCATTTTTTCAATGGCTGAGTGATGGTCTGTATGCACCACGTCTTCTTTATCCACTCCTCTGTCAACAGACATTAGGTTTCTTCCATTTCTTGGCCATTGTACAGTTCTGCAGTGACACTGGGGTGCATGTGTCTTTTTGGATCATGTTTTTCTCCGGATGTATGCCTAGGAGTCCCCCGAACTTTTATAAAATGAAGCTTCACCTGTGGACTTCTAGAATTCCCCCCCCCCCCACACACCTGGGGCACTCT